GCTTACAGCACCTGGTATTCCCAAGTAGTCACTCATCTCAGTACTGATCAAGCTCAATGCTGCTTTACTTTAGCGATCATATGGAAATCAGTATTTAAATGTGATGTGGCTGTCAGCCTGATGCAGTCATTTCTTTTAGCATCCAGCATATACTTGTAACATGTCAGGCACCCCGAGGTGGTATAATGGTTAGCAAGCTTGTCTCACTAGAACAATTACAACTGAGTAGTGAGTTTGATCCTCACTGGGTGCTCCATACTTTCGGCCTTGTGCCACATCTGAGCTATGCTTAGAAAATCATTACACCTGTAACAAGTGGTTCCAAAAAATTTCATCATCATAGATGTTTTTGTTACTGTCCAAGATTCCACACTGTAAAGCAATATAGATTGAACAAAGGAATGAAATAGTTGGAGATTTAATTTCTGTTCAATATTTGGAGATTTCCATATGTTCTTCAGTTACCAGAACTTGTCAAAGCCTATTGGTCATCACTGTTTAAAATCAGTGAAGGAAGAATTGATTCTGGAACCATGATATTTAATGTCATCTACTGCTTCAATGGTCTCTCCATTGGACAGTTTAATATCAGTGATATTAGGGTTACTAGGTAATTTCTAGATCACCCACATTACAGAAAATGCCCATTGCTCATATTTTATCAGCTGGGGTTGTAGAATATACTGACTGCAGAAAGGTAAGACCCTGCCTTACCCATGTGGCCAACTGTTTTCTGTGAGTGGTGTCTCTGATGCTTGAGGATGGAAACCTGGATACTGAGCAGTTCATGACCCAAGTCTATAAGTGCAACACTCCTTTGGTCCTTACTTGAGCTAGATGGGTGGTCAGAGAGACCTGATCTGATCAATCAGCTGGTCATTTCAGGCCCTAGCACCTATATAATTAACCCAACGTTGTCTCACAAATTGATCACAATGATCAAACACCTTACCCGGTATTATTTTAGAAGGTCATGGCTGAGGGTCCCTTGAGTTGAAGACAAATAAACTTTGACCACTGTTTCAAATTAAAGCATCAGATATTTTGGGTACTGAAGATCAAAATTACTAGGGGCTCAAAGTCCTCTCTTGATGAGAGTATACAGGTAGATCTATGTCTGTCTTAACCAAGATGAATGGGTTTAACCCCCTTGGTAAATCCCCAATAGTAATTGAACTCTGTTGTGGGTGGTGGAGCATAAGACCAATGAAAAAAAAAATAAACTGGCAAACATCAATAAAAAAAAAATGTAAAGAAATCTCTGACTCTTAGAAATAGAAGCTGGAACAGATTTCCCAAGATTCATAGTGATAGAATCTCTGGAGGAAAATTCCTCTAGCCAGTTTGTTACTATTTTTGATTGAAAATGTAATCACTAGCAGAGTAATTCCATAAATAGTAAAAAAAAAAATGAGAAGTTGTAGTTTACCTGTGGCCATCAATAATAAAAAAATACACCGATAATATATTAGAAATGAAGGCTTTCTATAAGTTAAAGCGTAAAGCACATCCACATGAAAGACTGAACAACTCAAAGGAAGCTGTTAGAAATAAAGAGCTGTCCCTGGCTATACCAGAAGAAATAAATGCCACCTTGGGAAACCAAGAGGTACTAACTGTAGAAGGATAACTATAAAAAGGGAAGATCAACAAATTCTAACACATATATATATCTTAACATTTAATAAACCCTCAATCCCAAAGGAAATAAAAATTGGTTTTATGATTGAGAAGATCAAATAATACATTCCCAATCCCTTGAGATGTTTCAAGTGTCAGAAATATGGGTATCACAAGGAGATCTGCAGAGGACATCCAGTATGTTTGAAATATGGTCAAAAAGACACAGATTATATTGAGAAAGAGTGTACTCATGATATTAAATGCACTAATTGTCAAGAAAACCATCCAGCCATTGTGAAATTTTGCTGCATATATAAAAGAGAGAAAAATCAAACATATAGAAGAAATATATCTTTTCCCAGAAGCAAGGAATATAGTTGATTCCTATATGAAAGGCCATACCTATGCCAATGTGGTTCAGAAGATGAATTCAGTTGGCAACCATAATAACAGCAACAAAGACAAATATAGAGTACTCATTGAGCAGTTGGTACAGCTAAGAACAAATGGCTGTCCAGAGTTCCAAGAACTGCATGGGTAAAAGCTGCCAAACAGAAATAATAAACACATTGCAAGAGCCCATTTCAAACCCACATGCAGTGGCCCAGGTGCCGTCTTCACAAAACACAAAATCTCCACCTACACTCTGAAAAGTCTCCCCCACAAAAAAACGACACCCCCTAAACTGATGCCCCCCGCAAAGATCCCCCCCCATCACTTCTGACACCTACAAAAAATAAATTTGAGCTACTAGAGAGGTTGGATAATATACCGCTAAGAAGTTCTAAACAAAAACCAAAGAAAATGATAATTAAGCTTAGTGACAAAGGATCTATTCTCTGGCAGCATCTCCCAATTGAACTATAAGATGTCAAGTCAGGAGATTACTATGATATCTGTGCATTAGTGGAAGATAGTATGCAATTTCTGGATCAGTATGACTTGCATCATGTGTTGCAATGTTTATATTATTTCAGGATGAGAGTGGGGTCCATTTACTAATCATATGTCATCGTCACCCCCAAAACACAGTTTGTAGCTTCCTCTTCAAACACTACAGATATATGAATTCAAAAAACAATTTATATACTGTTTTAATCTTGTAATAACTAGTCTCTTAAAAAAACAAAAACCGTCCATCATATTCTGCTATTTTCTTTGTAGTGATCTCAAAGAGAGGAGACATTGTTCTAAAAAATATCCTTAAAAATAGTGTCACATTAAAAAGAAATATCTTAAAAAATATCCTTAAAAATAGTGTCACATTAAAAAGAAATATCTTAAAAAATATCCTTAAAAATCATGTCACATTAAAAAGAAATATCTTAAAAAGTTTCCTTAAAAATCATGTCACATTAAAAAGAAATATCTCAAAAAATATCCTTAAAAATAGTGTCACAAAAAGAAATATCTTAAAAAATATCCTTAAAATAGTCTAATTAAAAAAATTATTCTAAAAATAAATATCCTTAAAAATAGTCTCATTAAAAAAAATTATCCTAAAAAAGTATCCTTAAATATAGTGACTCATTAAAATCAACTTATTTTTGTAAGCAACACCAAATCAATCCACAATCATTATTTTTTATTGATTTCTTAGTATAATCTTTCTCAAAATCAAATCTAAAGAGGTTTTTATTATAAAAAAGACATTTTTGCAACCAACGCCAAATCCATATGCTATTACTATCTATATATTTTATTTGATTTTCTTCCAGAAGCTTTCATGAAGTCCTACTTAATTTTAAATGAACTAAGAAAATTTTTTTTAATCACTTCTTTACTGTTTAATTCCTTTAAAACTTTGCTTATCATCTATGTCAAATATATAAGTATGTATGTCATTTGGGTGCCTTTTCATGTATTTATCTATTGTTTTCTGCTTTCATCATTACTGATGGATATTTTTTCATGATCTTTGGAATTTCATTAACAATACTAAAGGGTGTTTCATTAAGATGGATCAAAGTCAGCAGTAAATAAATCAGTGTTATTGGTGAAAATTTATTTATTTCTCTATTGGATCATGTTATTTAAATCATGGCAGTTATGTGTGAAAAATAATATCGCCCAAATATCTGTCACACTTCCACTTGATGGTCAAAAGTTTTGATGATGTCTCTGCATAGTTGCTCCTCAATCTCACCAATATGCCTTATTATCTCAATACTTCAACTGTTGAATTTTTGTTGGCTTGTTAGCATAGACCTTACTTTTGAAATAACCCCAAAGGAAGAAATCTAAAGGCATGAAGTTGCACAATTGTGGTGACTATGACTTCACTGTTTTGTAACCTGGGAAGTGTGCGAAATGCATTTCTGTTTGAACGTCCATTTTCATGATAGGCTTTGATAACTTTAACACCTTGTTTGATTGTTAATCTTTCCATGGTTAAAATTGCCAAAGACTTAAGTTGTTAAATCTGAAAGAAAAAGAAAAAAATCATTAGACACTTAAACTTAATTCACATTAAAATTAGTCCAAGTTATTGGAACACTCTTTAATATACCATTTTGTACTTCATTCTATATTCTTTTTTATTTTACATATGTTGATTGAGAACGTACTGAAGATGACAATGCAATATTGAAATATAAATAAAATCAATTTTTTTTCTAACTAGTTATTAATAACCTACCAGCATTTATATTTTTATTTACCCTGATCCTGAATTTTTTCATTTTTTTTTTTTCCTTCTTCAAGTAAAATTTTTCTTAGGAAATTATTAAGCATGTTACATTAAGAGTTATTTTTTTTCTATTTACATGAGAAGTCTTCAATTAGCACATTAGACAGTGAGGAATTTCCTGGGTTTTCTTCAAGTACTTATCAATATTTTATTTAATCATTCTTAATGTTCCTATGTGGCACGGTTATGTAATGGATAACAGGTTGGATTGAGGAATTGGAGAACTGAGTTTGAATTCAAGTCAAGTTTGTTACATTCACTTACATGGAAATATCCTTAAAAAAGGTATGACTCCATCTCTTCTTCCCACCTCTATGGGTAAATAGCAGGACACAACCAATCTCAGAGGATAACTGAATTACTGAAAATTTTATAACTGAAACTGATAACATAACTAAATGATAACTAAATGATAACTTATGATAACTTATAACTTAATGATAACTTATAACAACTTATAACTAAATGATAACTTATGATAACTAAATGATAACTTATAACAACTTATAACTAAATGATAACTTATGATAACTTATGATAAATTATAACTAAATGATAACTTATAACAACTTAAAAAAATGTTCAGTTATAAGTTATCATTTAGTTATCATTTAGTTATGAGGTTAAATAGCCTCAGCAAGTAGCAATTGACCAAGTGTGGTGAGTACTATTAAATTTCTGAAGACCTGATCAATTGGTGGTGGGGTACCTCCATTAGGAGTTAGTGGGTCCTGGATTTAGATTTTAATGTGGGTGGTGGGGTATTCATAAGCACAATCTTTGGTATCTTAGATAGTGAGG